GTGCAGTCACTGAGGGCTAGTAACAGTGGAACTTTCACCACCCCTTGGCCTGAAGGAATGAGGAAAGGGAGCTCTGGGGCCCAGGAGAGAGAGGTGCAGAAGCCATGTTGAAGAGCAGAGTCCTCCCCCATTCAGGGACACAGCCTCCCTACATCAGATCTGCTGAGGCTCCCCATTGGCCAAACCCAAGCAGAACCAGACAGCAAGGAAACTGCTAACTGAATCCATAGGTTTCAGCTCCCATGGCTGGGTGGGGTGGGGAAGAGTGAATCTTGAGGGACAAATGGAAGATATCCTGCTTATACCCAAAGTTCTTTTTGGTTGCTATCATCTTCCAAACTCTTACTTTTTGAAAACCTGAGCTCATCTTCCTCTCCACCCTTCAGTGACTTTGGCATTCATGTGGTGGCCCCTGTATCTTTTTCATCCATTCTTATAGTTACACCCTAAAAACGACTATCAGTAATAACACAATATGGACTTCAAGCATCCCACCCTCTGACCACCACCTCTTATCTCTACAGTTCACTGGCTCTAGTTCTTTCATTGCAATTTTTCAACCTTCTTTAGGCTTCCAATCCCCTAACCTTACACTCTGCCACTATTCATCCACTCTCCTACCTTTACCCTCCTGTCTTCACTTTCCACTATGTCCAGAGAAAGTTCCATGGACCTTGCTCCCTTAAGAATCTTACCTCGCTAATGCATTCACCTGTCAAAACTCTAACTTTGGTTAAAGCCAACTACCTGCCTTTTCTAGGGGGGAAAAAGACATAAAATTATGCTGAGTGGTTTCTCTCTAAATTTGTTATCACATGCTTCAAATGGGCATTCCAAACTGCCCAGAAATCCTACGCTGATCCTGGTGAATACGCCAATTACTTTTCAAGATGATTATTTCCTAACTTCTTTCTCCTCAAGCACCTCACACTCTGTACCCCATATCCCTACACCCTCACCCTCATCTATTCACCACCAATTCTGTAAACCTCCCAGCACCTGCATTATATCCCTGCCTTATATCCTGTTACCATGGGATAAGGGTCCCTCCTCCTATCAAAGCCCAACCCCTCCACTTGTGTTGTAATTCCAACGCTCATCTTTTGAAGAACTTTGTTCCTACTCTCTCATTCCCTTTCTCTCCTGTATCAGTTTTCCTCCACTGGATCATTTTAAAATTCAAATGAGTATGTCCAGTAACTCCCATCTTAAAAAATAAGTTTCCTCAATTCCCAATTCTCCTTCATTTCTCATCTAATTTCTCCATTCCCCTTCAAAGAAAAACTTGAAAAAATTGTCTATAGACACTGCTTTTCTTCATCTCCCATTCTCTCTTCTGCCCATTTCCAACCGCCTTCTACAACCACCATTCCATGGAAATGCAGCTCTCACTTAACTCCTCAGTGATGAATTTGTTTTCAAGTCATCTGATTCCAACTATGAACAGCATGTGACATAGCTGACTACACTTCCATTCTTGAATCATTTTCCTCTCTTGGTTTTTGTGGCCACCACTCTTTCCTGATTTTCCTTCTATCTCCCTGGCTTTCCCCTCTCTATCTTCCTTGCTGGCTAAATCTCCCTTACTAGACCGCTAAATGTTAATGACCCCATATTCTTCTCAATCCTGAGCTGTCCAACAGAGTAGCCACTAGCCACATGTGTCTATTTAAATTTAAAATAATTTAAATTAAGTAAAATTAAGATTTAGTTCCTTAATCGCACTAGCCACATTTCAAGTGCTCAATAGGCACATGTAGATAGTGAGCAACATGGCCATAAAACCTTTCCATTGTTGCAGAAAGTTCTATTGCACAGGACTGACCTAGACTCCTCCCTAGGTGATCTCACCCAGTCTCGTGGCTTTCAGTACCATGTATATGCTGACTTCTAAATTTATAACTCTAGCTCTGACCCAAGCTTCAGATTTGTACATGAAACTACCTATTTGACATAATCACTTAGATGTCTAACAGGCTAGTCAAACTCACATTCAAAACAGAACACTTCATTTTCATCCTCTCCTCCCGTGTCTACCCACAAAAGCTTGTTTCTCTTCCTGTCATTTATTTTTAGCAAATGACACCATCCAACCAGTTTTGAAGCCAAAACTCTAGGAGCCACCTTGATCCCCAATATCTAATCCATCAATGAGTCTTAACGACTCTATCCACAAAATGTATCTCAAATCTTCTTCCCAAACCCTCTTGTCTCTCCACTATCATCTTTCTAATCTAAGTTTCTTGTCTGGGCTATTGTCCTATTCATACGAGATCTCCTGTACCTAAATCTAGCACATAGCAGGTGCTCATTAAATATGTTGAATAAATGAACAAGCACAATCCTACTGAATAGTGCAAAATAATCTTAACTTTTTTAATATTCATGAATAATAGATATTTGCCATAAAAACTTTAGAAAATAGATTTAAGAAGATAATAAAAATCACTTCCCAGATTACTTACGATTGGCTATGGCTCAATATCATTACTCATTTTGTCAATTATTAATACATTTTTCATGCTCTCACAGCACTATAATTTACTTCCATGCATCTGTAATCTGTGTTGTCAGTGCAATTTAATCCCCAAGAGAAATTTTAGTTGCCACTTCTTGTCACTCAGCCTTGCCTTTCCTGATTAATCCAGTACAGCTTCCTGACCTCTGATTACCTACACATTTTATGCCTGTCACAGACCAGTAGACATTTTGTTAGGAGTTCCCAACGTTGTTCCTGTCCCAGCCTGCCATCTAGCTCCTCCTCTCTGCACTCAACTTCCTTGTCAGAAACACTGAACAGTTTGACCGTAGTCTTAATTCAAAATAACTCAACCAATAATTCTAAACAATGTCTGCTACTCCTCCCTCTTTGATTCACTGCATTTACTGGCAGCCCTAAATGCTTGATCATCTCCATTCATTCAGCTGCATGCCAATGTGATCAAGTTGATATTTCCTACAGATACAAGTAATTACTGAAGTGAGGTGATGGGGTAAAGGAGAATGCAAGAGTGTCTTCTGAGACCTGCGGTCTAGTAATTATTAATATGCTTGCCATCCGCATTGCCTGTGTCAGGTTACAAAGCCATCCGGGACACAACATTTTCACGGCAATCCAAACACTATTATTTGCCTCACCAACAATCATCTCTCCTCTACCCTCCTCCAACTTCCTTCTCCAAGAGACCTTTGTGGGCAGTACCCACCCTCCACCAAATAACCAGATACAACAGGTAGCTATGTGCCATGCTCCACCCTCCCCCAGCCAGCTTTGAAGTCTCACTCCTTTTATGAGTTAAGTCAGTGATACAAATATAGCCAGAGAGTGTGAAAGAAAGTCTGTGAAGGGCTCGGGGAAAAAGTTTCCTCACCCTCAAAAAGAAAGACCCAATGACAAGATAATGTCCTTTTTTGGCTCCAGAAATTTCCTCACCTGGATGTAATTTCTGAGACGCTAACATCTTCTTTGAAGTATGAGGGGAGAGTTTTAGGTTGAAGCCGTTGCTGGGAATGGCAGAGTGGGCAGATGAAAGAAAACTACATCCTTTGTAATATATTTAAGTTGTTTTTTATACTGTGCCAGAGGCCCTACCCCTGCACTTTGAACTATGTATTTATAAGCCCAGGGGATTCTGATTTCATCAAAATCTGAGGCACTGAATTCTATGCCCACAACTATAAACTTTCTCCACCACTTCCTTGCTAAGAAATCTTAGGCAAACTATATTACCTTTATAGAATCTGTGTCTTTATCCTTAAAGAGGGAAATAATATTCACGTTTTGGCCTTATTGTGAGGATGTAGGGTTAAGACGAGTTGATTGGAAGACTGAATGTAGGAAGCGCTATGAGATCCATTAACCAGAAAATGATGCTACCAAGGCCCTAAATGCTTCCCAAACTTGACTGCTGATAGAAACTGACACATTGGTAGATAACCTGATCCCAGCCCTCTCCTGAGAGACTACATTTTAAAAGACAGATTCTAGGTTCTAAGCAAGTGTGATAATCAAGTCAAGTCTGAACTTAGGAAAGTTCAAAGGAATACACAATGTAATACTCCTATGCCAGAGTTAGGATTTCTGGTTTCTAAATCTAGATCTGCCACTATTTCAAGCAAGCAAGTTGTTTCATCTTTCAGGACCTGTTTATTCATCTGTATACTTGCCAGGTATAACCTACAGTCTGTAGGGACTGATGGCAAATTACACTTGGGGTGAGGGGACTTCTGTAATCTCAGTATTTTTATATTGCTGCAATGTGGATTACACAGGCAACAAAATATAAGCAAAACTGGGATTAGGGGAGGTGTTGGCTTTGTAGTAAAATTAACTGAATATTAATTGTAGGACGCTGCCTTCTCTATCCTGCTACCTTGAGTCTGAGCTTCCACTCCTCTCAGGATCATGGCAGAATTGGAGGTGATCACGCTCGGCCACTCTGATCGCACAGATATGTGAAAATGCCTAGAAAAGTTAAAAACACGAGTGTCGGGCAAGAGATTCTGATGAGGGCCCTAAATTTACTTTTTTGTATTAAGGTAACTTTTACTGGCAAGCACAGTACTGTCTTCATGTTGCAACAGAAACTTTTCCCTTGGCATTTAAAAAGGAAGGAAAGAAAAGAAAAGGAAGGACGGAAGGAAGGAAGGAAGAAAAAAGACGATGTATGCTATCGGCCTCAGGTGGAATTCACAAAGTTAGTGGCGCGGGAACACCTCCTAACTTGGGAGCTCCGGAGCCTTTAGGGTGCACAGGTGGCCTGACCTCGTCACGGGTGGAAATCACACTTCTCCTGCGTTTAACTTGCCGAATTTCAGTTTATGCTTGGGAGGTAGCCGCATGGAATCCGGTAGGGAAGCCACCAAAATGCCCAGGGCCAGCACTTCCGCCTCTCGCCCTAAACTCCTCCTAGCGCAGACAAGCCCCGCCCATCAAGAGGCTCGACACGCCCCGTTTGCGTCTCCGCAGAGCCCGTACTTCTTGAACTTTGACCGCTTCTGAGCCGCGGCGCGGGGGGATAGTACGCATGCGTCGTTTCTTTACATGGCTAGCGTCCTTATCCTAGCGGCGGCGGGAGCTGCGGTGGCCGTGCTGCTGGCGCTGCGGCTGTGGGTAGTGCTTCATTCTCGGGTCCTGGTGCCCCGTCAATCTCTCAGTCTCTTGGTGGTGGCTGGGTCCGGTAAGTTACTGGGGCGGTGACTGTCGAGCCTGGGTCGGTCACTACAAACCCCAGAGTACACCGCGACTCTCTTCTCTAGTCTCCTTAGCACTTTTTGGAGCATTGCATGCTGAGATTTGTAGTTTTCCTGTGTTAACCGGAACCGGTCCGCCCAGCCGGGGCGAAATTCTGGTTTGCTGACGCGGCCCAAGCATCTTTTAAGGACAAATGAGTAACTTACACTTGTCTGTAATTAAGCTTCCACGTAGCGTATATTATTCTAACAAATTATTATTGAGCAGAGAGGACGCAGAAGCCTTACGACGCTAACTTACAATTTTCCTGATTAAAAATTGCTGTTTTGCATTATTAATCTAGGCATTTTGTATTTAGTTTAGGAATCACGAATACTAGATGCTAAATGAGGCCAAGTGAATTGTCACATTTATAAATATACAAATCCATGAGGTTAGAAACAATTTTCTACTGACCACAGAACAATACACATTTCAGAATGTTGTGTCAGCATATGAACAACAAGCTGCCCTATCAGGTAATACAATTTAACAGAGTCTACCAGCTCTGCAGGCCCTCACAGTTAAGTTCTGACAGAGATAGATATATTGTGTACACTTAGAAATGCTAGGAGATTGTATCCAGTTAGAATAATATTTACAGTATGAGCAAATGTTCTAAACTAATGTTCAAGTATAACTCATTACTTTTTTCACTTAACATATGTTGAACCATCGGGGAGTCCAGGCACTATGCTAAGCTCTGGAAATAGCAAAACTGACTACTACTACTACTTGCCACAGAATGGTGACTAGGTAGTGAAGCAGTGTGAAAGGTACAAGGATACAGCAGTGAATGAAAAGATTATAGAAAAACTAACAGAAAACAAAAAACAAAACAAATGTGTACTTGTTATAATCTGGGAAGTATAGGCTGCTATGGCAGTCTTCAGGAAGCACACCGTTTTATCTGAACTTGAGACAGGAAAATTCTCGGAACAAGTGATGTCTAAACTGAGATTTGAAAGATGACCAGGAAATACCAAAGAGGCTTTGAAGACTGGGAAGGTGTGAAAAGAAATTGATAGCCCTTGGAATGGCCAGAGGTGGGAGGGCACTGTTGCTTTGAGTTCCATGTGGCACAGTAAGCCCAGTCCAGATCCCAAAGGGCGTTGTAAACCATGCTCTGTAAAGCCATTGGCACTACTCCACTGCTTTATACCATGTAGGGGTTAGGACCACAGGCTCTAGATTGACATAATCCTGGAGTTGAATCACATCTTTGCCACTTACTGACTTGGTGATCTTGGGCAAATTAGTTAACCTCACTGAACTTTCTGTTTCCACCTTGAAAAATATGGGATGGGAAGAGGAGAGATTAAATGTAATATTAAAAGTGTTTAGCAAAGTGTTTGGCATATAATAAGCATTTAATAAATGGTGACTGTTGTTAGTCCTGGTAGCAAAGGATCTTTTAAAATACTTTTGAGTGGAGAGTGACCCAATTAAATACAAGCTTTTTACAAAGATCATTCAGCCAGCATTGTCAAGAGTATGTTTTGACAAAGCCTGAGGTAGGGAGACAAGTAGGAACTTGTGGTTTGAAAGCGGGGTGGGGGGGGGAGAGAGGGGGTGTGTGAAGAAAGGAAAGGCTCAGGAATGATGTCCAGGTTTCTGTCTTGAACAAGTAGATGAATGGATGTTCGAGCCATTCACTTGACAGTATTAGATTTGGTGGACTGGGCACCAAAATTAAGATTGAGAATTAGTCTGGCAAGGGGTGCCTTTGTCGTTCAAACCATTCAGGGTAGGAAGAGGTCAAGGACTTCAAAGAATCTTCCAAGTCAAAGAAAGACTTGTAATCAGACAAATAGTTTAATAGTTCATGGCCGGAATTTTGGAGGAGGGGGAAGGCATTTTTCAGTGTTTACCAAGAATACCAAAAAATGTCCAATCTTTAGATTCCATAAAATATGATTAATCAACCACATATTTTCAAGGAACATCAATCAAAATTACTACTTTTCTTTGAAATGTCATATGATTTCCTTAGGCAAATTTTAGATTTAATACCAAATGCTCATCTACCCATTCATTCAATTATAGGAATACCGACTGTTTTCAAGGCACTGAAGATCAGCAGTAACAAAATGAACAGAAGTCCCTGCCATCATTGTGCTTACCTTCTGGTGGAGCAAGGGTTAGGGGAGACAAAAACAAAAGAAATAAGTAGACTGCATATTAAATTATATGGTGATAAATATTATGAGGTAGGGAAAGGAGGTTGCATTTTAGACAGAATTGTAAGGAAAAGCCCCCCGGGGGAGATGACAGATACCCAACAACAGCAAGGAGGCCAGAATGGCTGGAATAGACTTAAGCCAGGTAGAAGCAGATGAGGTCTATGAGGTAACAAAGTAAGGGGTCAAATTATAAGATGCCTTTTATTGCATGTGAAAAGGGAAGCCACTGGAGGGTTTTGAGCAGAGGTAAATTGATCAACTCTCTCTAACAGGATCACACTGGATGCTGTGTTGAGAATAGACTGATGTAGATACTTGAATAGACAAGCGGAGCTGGGGGAGCAGACCAGGAAATCGTGGTCATAATTGATGTGAGGGTGATGTGGCGTGGAGCAGGGTAATAGCAAAGGAGATGCGGGGGTTGGGGGGTGGAGATTGGATTCTGGATATATTTTAAAGTAAAACTGAGAAGATTTTGTTCCCAAAGAATATATCTTAATAAAACAGTAAAATGGAAGACAAAGCCCATCATTTTAATGACTTTATTGTGTGGCAAGGTTAAATCTTCAAAGAATGTATTCAGTAAATGTTTCCTTTTAAAAAAAGAGAGAAGCCTGTTAAAGCAGGTATAATGAAGTTTTAATTTCAGTGGGAATGTGGATATTATCCTTTTTATCCTTAATTGGTCCAGCTGTGAAAACAAGTACCTACTTTGCAAACCACATTTTCTCAAGGCTAAAAACAAAAATACCAAAATGAGTATAAATCGGATGTGTAAATTACATGCCCCAGACAAGAAGATGGGTGACAAGTTATAAAGTATGATTCTAATTCCTCCTCACACATAATCTATGCCAATTTTATTTCTATATCTAATTCCTCCTGGAACCTAGAGAGTAATCCTTCCCTTTCTGCTATAAGAAAATATGTGCATTGGCAGAAACCACACGCTTAATTTGTTTGATTATTCTTCTATATGTTCACTGTATTACTACTGAAAGCGCTTTCTAACAACAGTTGTTGGTGGGGGAGAGTTTAGTAGATGGGAGGGACACTGTGACCAGAGGCAAGGAGGAGGTAGCAAATAAGATGAATACAAAGAATGTTTAGGACATCAACCTGGCTGAGGCTGAGAGTATGAAGTGAAACGAAATGGGTATGATAGGGCTCAGAGAAGTTTGATTGCTTTGCTTAAATGCTAGATAGTTAACATGAGAGGTTGATATTCTTTGGGTTTCTTTTTTTTCCCATGGAGGAAACCTCAGTATACACAGTCGATTTTTAAATTCATAGTTTTGAAATTAAAAGTATTAAAATTTTGGACATCGTACAGTTTCAAAAATTGAACAGTTTTTTGGTGAAGCTGGTAAATATTTGACGTCCTGTAGTGTGCTGAGACCTCTCTCAGGAGCTGGGGTTACAGTGCTGAACAGTAGTCTTCCTTAGGAAGCTCCAAGCCCTGTGGGTCAGTGCTCATGCCTCATTGACATTACTTCTCAGCACAGAAACCTTCAGTGACCCAGTGACCATCTTTCCATTTTTAGGCTACTTTCCTGATCTGATTTCACCCTCCTTCGCAGTATTCCTACCATTCCCTGAACACACATCTCAGCTCTTGCCATCTCATGTCCTAATAATCCCACTCCTGGCCAGGGGCCTCCCTATTCTTATCTGTCCATTAGCTTTACCTTTCAAGGCCTCTCAGGCTTTACCAGGGATCTCCCTTCCTCTTATAGGGTTGGTCTTTCATAACCATTTGCTTGCCTCACCTCTGCCCCCATTTAAGTTTTTCATGCTGTCTTGCATCACTCTTTAAATGTCTGTGTGTCTTTCCCCTTTTCACCAGGCTTCTTGATAACAGGAGTTGTGTCTTACACTTCTTTGTGCCTTCCTTAACACCTACTGCTAGTGCCAATTTTAGTTTTATAAAGCTATTATCCTCTTCCCCCATATAAAAGTAGTATTTATTCAAGGGCATAGATTATTGTTTCCAAATGTTCCTTTCACCTATTGAGAAATACACAAAACATAACATTAGTATAACATAGTCAAATAGATACGGCCATTGGGGGTTTCTTTCTTTTTAAGTTTCTATTTAAATTCTAGTTAACACAGTGTAATATTAGTTTCAGGTGTACAATGTAGTGATTGAACACTATACCATATAACACCAGGTGCTCATGACAAGTGCACTCCTTAATCCCCATCACCTATTTCCCCTATCCCTCGCCCACCTCCCCTCTGGTAACCACACTGTGGATTTCTTAATCTTAGGCCTTCCAATATTTTTTCCAGGTGGGCACACCACTGAGATCCTGAGGCTGCTTGAGAACCTGTCCAATGCTTACTCTCCTAGACATTATATCATTGCTGATATTGATGAAATGAGTGCCCATAAAATAAATTCTTTTGAACTAAATCGAGCTGATAGAGACCCCAGTACCATGGTAAGTGATCGTTTATATTTCTAAGAAAGTTAAAAGTTGAATATTGAGTTGAATTATCTCTGGAAACAATCTCGTGGCACCTCAGTGCCCTGCCCACACAGGGCAGTCAAATGTTTATTGCTGATGAAATGTATTTCCTCTACTACCAAAAGATAAGAATTTCTTTAAACTACATCTTCAAGTGGTAGTTTAATTTCTTATATTCCCTTTTATTCTTTTAAATAGGGGAAATTGTGTTTCAGTTAATTCCAGCTGGGAAAATTTAAACTTACATAAAGTATCTGGTTCATGTGCTTATTGACTCTTCACTAAAGTTCTTTATTAATGTATTGCATTTCTTGATGATGTATCTATGACTACTTCTTATTCTTCAAATTGTATTTGAATCTGCCTTTAAAGTTAACTCCTCTATCTCTGGTTGCTCACTTCAGTTTAGCATTTTAGTCAGAATTAGGGGTAAAAGAACAAAAGTGAAACGACTTCTTTATCAAGGAAGGAAACTAGAGCTGTCACTTGGGTAGATTGTCTCCATCCATCCCTCCCTCTGGTACCTGCCCAGCCAAGGAGCGGCAACAGGTAGTTCAGGAGTGGAAGCTGACCCAGCTCAGGCTACTCAGTGTTTCTCTGGGCTTTTTGGACTTGGGGATCCAGAAAATGGAGGCAGTCTTTCTTTGGGGACAAACTCTATAAAAGATAAAATTTGGGAGCTCCTGGCAGTCATGTTTTCACCTGCTGGGTAAAGATAGACTACAGTTGGAGAAAAAAATGACATTAATACACAGGAAGAGTAAAATGAGGAACCAGGTGGTAAGACCTGCCTTCAGGAACTCCAGAGGTCCGGCTGCATCCGTGTGGGAAGATCCACTAATACCGCCACTCTCCTACTCCCCCTCATTTCCTCTCTCACCTCCTCACCTCACCCCACCTCCACGCCTTTTTAAAGCCTATTTCAATTGAGTTGTGGTCAACTGTGTAAACGTGATCCCTAACTACAACACTGTTAGAATTGTTCTTGGAGATTCCATGTCAAACAAGATCAGAACCTGGCCAGAACAAAATGCTGTGGTATGTTTTCCTCTGTTGGGGGGTAAGCCAAATGCTTCATTTCTGTGTTAGGAGTCTTGTGGCCTCTGAAACAAAGTACCACACACTGGGTGACTAAGGGCAGAAATGTATTCTCTCACAGTTCCAGAGGCTAGAAATCTGAAATCAAGGATTCTACTGGGCCACGTTCTCTCTGAAGACCCTAGGGGAGAATTCTTCCTTGCCTCTTCCTAGCTTCTGATGGTTGCCAACACTCCTTGGCATTCCTTGGCTTATAGCAGCATCATTTTAATCTCTGCCTCCATTGTCATAGGGCCATTCCTGTGTCTCTGTCTTCACACTCCCTTCTCATAAAGACACCAGTCATTGGATATAGGGCCCAGACACATTCAGTATGACGTAGTCTTAACTTGATTCCACCTACAAGACCTTTTTCCAAATAAGGTCACATTGACAGATTCCAGATAGACAGGAATTTGGGGGGGACACTGTTCATCCCTATGTGTGTAACTGATCCTTTTAATAATGTGCAAGACAGATAATACCATACTTATTTTAGAAATGAGAAAATGGAGACCCAGAAGTATAAATAAGGTCTACCTGATATATGGCACTTACCTAAACATGTCTTCTCCAAAACTTTTTCTGCATAGGCCACTCTGCCTCTTTTATGCATTCTTTTGCAATCCAATAAACTCAGTGAAAAAGAATGCTTTGGGGATTATTCAAGGCATCAGAGACTAAAAATGTCATTGAATCTCTTAGAGGGTATATTAGAATTGTTGGAGACTTTGGAGAATACAATGGTGACTTTTTACACAAGTGGAATATAGTATTATAATTTAGCAGTTGTAAAGACTACTTACAAATATAAAAGTTGAATAATTACAAATTGTTATTGTTTTCAACATAAGGAACAGGTATCTTTTTACCCAATTATTAGCGTATATATTCTTCTTTCTGGAGTTGCATCCAATTAGGGGCTCCAGTTTTAATTTAGCATACATATTGAATATTTGCTGAATTTCATGGTTTAATGGAACATTTGGAAGATTGTTATATACAGGAAGATTGTGGGTTGGTTTTTTTTTGAGAGGGAGAGGGGCAGAGGGGGAGAGAGGATCTTTTTTTTTTTTTTAAGATTTTATTTATTTATTTGACAGAGAGAGACACTGTGAGAAAGGGAACACAAGCAGGGGGAGTGGGAGAGGGAGGAGCAGGCTTCCCGCTGAGTAGGGAGCCTGATGTTGGGCTCGATCCCAGGACCCTGGGATCATGCCCTGAGCTGAACGCAAATGCTTAACTGACTGAGCTACCCAGGCGCCCCTCATATGGTATTTCTGTTTTTAGTATTTACATGAGTAATCATCATACAGTTTTCCACAGTGGCTGTTGCAGTTTGCATTCCCACCAACAGTGCACAAGAGTTCCTTTTTCTCCACATCTTCACCATCACTTTGTTACTTCTTTTTGATTCAAGCCATTCTGACAGGGGTAAGGAGGTGTCTCATTGTGGATTTGACTCCCATTTCCTTGATGTTGAGCATCTTTTCGTGTCCCTGTTGGCTATCTGCATGTCTTTGGAAAAATGTCTATTCAGGTCCTCTGTCCATTTTTAATCATATTATATGGGGTTTTGGTGTTGAGTTGTATAAATTCTTTATATTTGGGGAATGTTAACTCTTCACTGAATATACCATTTGCAGATGTCTTCTGTTCAGTAGGTCACTTTTGTTTTGTTGATGGTTTCCTTTGCTGTGCAAAAGCTTACTATTTTGATGTAATCCCAATAGTTTATTTTTGCTTTTGTTTCCCTTATCTTAGGAAGCATATCTAGAAAAAAGTTTCTACAGCCAGTATCCCAGAAATTACTGCGTTTTATTCTAGGAGTGTTATGGTTTCATGTCTCACATTTAAGTCTTTAATTCATTTTGAGTTTATTTTTATGTGTGGTGGTAGAAAGTGGTCCAGTTTCACTGTTTTCTATATAGCTGTTCAATTTTTCCGGCAACATTTATTGAAAAATCTGTCTTTTCCCCATTGTATATTCTCACCTCCTTTTCATAGATTAACTGACCATATAAGTATGGGTTTATTTCTGGGCTCTATCTTCTGTTACATTAATCTATGAGTCTGTTTTTGTGCCAGTACCATACTTATTTGATACTACAGCTCTGTAGTGTATCTTCAAATCTGGAATTGTGATACCTCCGGCTTTGTTCTTCTTTCTCAAGATTGTTTTATCTATTTGGGGTGTTTTGTGTTTTCATACAAATTTTAGGATCATTTATTTTAGTTCTGTCAACAATGTTATTGGTATTTTGATGGTGTTGCATTGAATCTTTAGATTGCTTTGGGTAGTATGAATATTTTAACAATATGATTCCAATCCATGATCATGATATGTCTTTCCATTTGTTTGTGTTGTCTTCAATTTCTTTCATCAGTGTTTTATAGTTTTCAGCGATCAGATCTTTCACCTCCTTTGTTAAATTTATTCCTAGGCATTTTATTACTTTTGGTGCAGTTTAAATGGAATTGTTTTCTTAATTTCTCTTTCTGCTACTTTGTTAAGTGTATAGAAATGCAACTGACTTCTATGTATTAGTTTTATGCCCTGCAACTTTACTGAATTCATTTATTCTAATAGTTTTTTGGTGGAGTCTGTAAAGTTTTCTGTGTATATAGTATCATGCCATCTGCAAATAGTGACAGTTTAACTTCTTTCTTACCAATTTGGATGCCTTTTATTTCTTATTCTTGTCTGATTGCTGGGACTGGGACTTCTAGTACAGTGTTGCAAGAAGTGGTGAGAGTGGACATCCTTGTCTTGTTCCTGATCTTAGAGGAAAAGCTCTCAGTTTTTCATCATTGAGTATGATGTTAGCTGTGGGTTTTCATATATGGCCTTTATTATTTTTTTAAGATTTATTTATTTACTTGAGAGAGAATGAGAGAGCAGGGAGAGAGGCAGGGGGAGAGGGAGAGAATCCCAAACAGTCTTCCTGCTGAGCGAGGAGTCTGATGCAGAGCTCGATCCCAGGACCCCGAGATCATGATCTGAGCTGAAATCAAGAGTCAGATGCTTAATTGACTGAGCAACCCAGGTGCCTTTCATATATGGCCTTTATTACGTTGAGGTATGTTTTCTCTAAACCCACTTTGTTGAGAGTTTCTATCATGAATGGATGTTGAATTTTGTCAGATGGTTTCTCTGCATCTGAGATAATCATATGATTTTTATCCTTCATTTTGTTGATGTAGTTAGTGTATCACATTGATTTATGAATACTGAACCATCATGTGCCCCCAGAATAAATCCCACTTGATTGTGGTGAATAATCCTTTTAATGTATTGTTGAATGTGGTTTGCTAATATTTTGTTGAGGATTTTTTACATCTGTGTTCATCAGGGATAGGCACCTATAGTTTTCTTTTTTTTGTGGTATCTTTGTCTGGATTTGGTATCAGGGTAATCCTGGCCTCATAGAATGTATATGGAAGCTTTCCTTCCTCTTCTATATTTTGGAATAGTTTAAGGGGAATTTCTATAAATCCATCTGATCCTGGACTTTTGTTTGTTGGGAGTTTTTCATTTACTGACTTAATTTTTTTACTGATAATCGGTCTGTTCAGATTTTCTTCCTGTTTCAGCTTTGGATGATTGTCTGTTTCTAGGAATTTATCCATTTCTTCTAGGTTGTCCAGTTAGTTGGCATATCATTTTTCATAGTAGTCTCTAATAACCCTTAGTATTTCTGTGGTGTTGGTTGTTACTTCTCCTTTTTTCATTTCTAACTTTATTTATTTGGGTCCTTTTCTTTTTTTCTTGATGAGTCTGGCTAAAGTTTTATCAATTTTGTTTGTCTTTTCAAAAGAACCAGCTCTTGGTTTCATTGATCTTTTCTTTTGCTTTTCTAAAGTCTTTATTTCATTTATTTCCACTCTGATCTTTT